CTGAATATACTACTAGTAAAGCATTACAATAGGAATAGCACAGCACAGCACAGCACAGCACAGCACAGCACAGCACAGCACAGCACAGCATAGCATAGAGTATCACAGCTTTGCATAATATTGCACAACATATAATAGGGCAGCACAACAAAACATATAGCATAGTAGAGAAAGGCACATCAAACCAAATCATAGCAGACAATAGCACAAACCACATCTAAGCACACCATAGTGCTCACAGCACAACACAGCAGTAGCAAATTACTGCATTAACAATCAAAATGCCCTGTTGAAACTTTTAGCCCAAACTTGTGTGCAATGAATGACGAGACAGTTTCACGGGAGTGTTTTTGAAGGACGCAATTTAGTCCTGTAATTTGTTCATGACACAATTTTCAGTTGCACAAGTAAAAAGAAGTTCTAATTTTCACGAAACATTCTTGCGACGAAATTTTCACAAAATCTAATTTGTCGTATTTCATAATGACGTCACATCAAAACAAACTATAGTTTTAACGCTAGGGATCATGGTCGCTGGAGGGGGATGGAATGACAACAACACATTTTAAATCACGATGAAATTTGGTTTATGAGCTGGTGAAGGCAAGAGCTAAATATTACGCTAAATGTCTCGAAAGAAGAGAATTAAGCTTAAATTTAGCCTAAATTTCTATCATTTTAGCCGATGTAAACAAACCGTGACGTCATTATGAAATAGGGTTATACCGTGTAACAACCCAGCCAGTGACACTAGTCTGGCGAGGCTGTTACAAACGAGTTTCAGCCAAAAGTTCAACATGTAACACGGCCTAAAGCACAGTACATCATAATAGAACCCCTAACCTTCTCTCTAATAATCAGCATCTACTGGAACAAGCCCAAGACCTTTCAGTGCAGCCACAGCAGCTTGTGCCTTGGCATGCTTCTTGTTGCTACTGACAACAGGGTGTTGATATTCATAACCATTCACTGCAACCTTAAACAGAAACTGCTTAGAATGGGGTGGCCCTTCATCGAATATCAGAGTAAACTCTGGGACTTGCCACTTTCTTCTTGCACAGTACTCCTGAAGAGATGATATAGGGTGTTTCCCTGTTGAAAAATGGTAAATCATCAATTTGTTATTTTCCTTCTTACTAGGTATTATCTATTCCATTTGTTTATTGTCGACCACAGGTAAAATATTTCCTAACTTTATTGTGGATTTATTAACCATTCTTAGGTTGACGAAAAAAACTGGGTCGTGTAAGGTATCGTAGTGCATTGTGCGGCTGTTTTAGGGTACTAAATAGACGCTAACTTGGAAATATGTCCCTCAAACAGTCCAAAAATGCACTGCAACTCGACCCAGCCTCCTCAACCTCGGAAGATGTGATCAAACGATCAAACATCACAAAAGATAAAATGCACATCCAATGTCCAATAGGCATCCAATGCCATTGACTTCTTGAAAAATACCTGAAACAAGAAAGGCATTATAACAACCAGTGGAATTAATGACCCTGGCCTGAATTGCATCATTCTCTTCTTGGTTTATTTCCTCCGAAAAATCTTTTTAAGAGGAGGAAGAGAAGAAGGGGGAGAAGGGGAGAAGGGGAGAAGGGGAGAAGGGGGAGAAAGGGGAGGGGGAGAAGGGGAGAAGGAAGAAGGAAGAAGAAAGAAGGAGAAAGATTACAAGTAGAAGGAGGAGGAGAAGGAGAAGAAGAAGAAGGAGGGCAAAGGAAAGGATAAGGAGCAGAGAGTAACACAGAAGAGGTTGCAGAAATTCAGTACAGGATAGGTCATGTTTACATAAAAAACAAGAGTTTCCATGACCATTAAATGTAAAAAGAAGGGCATGCACACTAACTGCAAGTCAAGGTTTATAAACAATATCTCTTGTACAGGAATATCTTGTGATAACGTAAACATGACCTTTAAGGGATGTTTAACAGCTATGTCCAGCTATTAAATATATTTATTTTAAAGGTTTGCTTGAAAATAACGAAATTAACTTATATTTAACTAGTTCAAGTAGATGTTTGGAGACTTGCACTTAATTTTTCACCCAGGTTTTGCGACCTTTCATGATTGTATGACTGTTTAAATTCAAGCTCTAGCCACTTCTTTGCTGGTTCCAATATATTGGCAACTCTCATAATTAAGCAATGGTTGCAATGGATTGAGTCCTTGCAGTTATACATTTACAAAAGGGCGTTGCTTCTGTTGAAGTCTCTTAATTTTTCTTTGTCAGTAGTACAATGTACACAAATATAATGCTGTTGCTTCAAGTGTAGTTCATTTTACATTGTCTAATATGTTTGATTGATTGCTGTCAATCACTGACAATAGTGTTAAACATTCCTTGTTTGTCAGCATTCCACATCAGCCAATGCTCACTTGAATCAAATGAAGATTGCTCAATGATGAAAATGAGTAGGTGAAAAAGATGGTCAAAGTAGAGACAGAAAGATTAATAGTAAAAAAACCGATATTAATGAGAAATATTAAAGAAATATTTAGTATATTTTTTAACTGTTACAGTAAGTCATGTGAGAGTGGGAGCTGAATCAGATACTAACCCCCACCATAATGTGTTTTGAAAGTGGCAGAATGCATACTAAAAAAAACTACTGTAGTTTGAAAGTCAGAGCACAGTTAGTCACAAATCGACTAGGAATTTAGCAGTTTAGGATTTGATTTTGGTAAATGGAAAAAAACCGGAGAACCATAGAAAACCCCTTGAATCAAGGAAGAGACAACAACTCTACCATCAATATACAGTAGACCTTTTTACCAATACAGCGGCCATCTTGAATTCTATTCCCTTAATGAAGACATTACAGGATGCCGAGGGGCAACTTTTGGAAAATTTATAGACTGACAGCACTGCAGTCAGGTTGTCTTTTTAATAACTTTACACTTTTCAATGAGAAGCGCATCTCAATAGCAATTAAATTTGCAGGTAGTTTGAACTGCATACAAAACACCAAGACTTCAAATAATTTGAAAATGCAACAAGCCACTCTATGCTTTATAAATTTTACATGTTTACCCCAGCCATAATTCAAGATGGCCATCAATTAGTAAAAATGTCTTTTTAAAGTAGATTAAATTTCATAGAAAATGATGACTGCCCATTCTTCTAATATTTAGATATATCAAGGTCCATAATAGAAACTTGCACAGTTAAGTTAATTTGCTCTACAACAAAGTTCTGGGTATGTCATTATTTTGCATTGAAACTCAAGGGTTTGTTTTATTTTAACTGTGAGGATTTAACCTTCATGATGCATTTGTCATACTCAGACTTTTTTACTGGGTTTTTGATATTTTGTGAACTTTGTCGCTTCGAGCTACTGCGCATGCTGAAATTTGGTTTTTCGTTTCCGTCAATCAAAAATAATCAGTCATTATCTATTATGTTCTAGAAGCAATTTCACAATAAGTGGTTGAAATGTCTGAGTTAGCAGAATATTGAAAACCACAGGAAATGAAATGAAATGAAAAATGGTTTTTAACAAGGGCCAAATTTCATGTCATGTAAGTTGTTACAGGTGTCATCAACAGCATAAGAAGAAGTTTTTAAACTGTTTAATTTGAATGGAATCCAGGAGGAAAAAAAAAGGTCTATCCTTTAAAAAACATTTCTCGTTGAAGTTTTTTAAAGCTGCCTTTAGTAATGAGATTTCAGGTCAAACTGACATTCTCTTCTATAAAATTACAAAATTGACAAAACTGCAAATCTAATTTCTAATTATTTTAGGGTTTTCAGGATTGCCGCAAAGTTTAACTCAGATCAAAGTTTGTCTTGGAGTTTGTATTTAGGTACAGAGTTAAGTTTATCAGGTGCTCAGTTTCTAAGCATCCTAAACATTCTTTTAGCCTATGAACAGGTTCTTGGGAGAATGAAGGAGAGAAAGGTCGAAGAAGCCCTTCTCTACCACTCCCTCCTCCCCTAAAGAGCCTGTTCACAAGCTACTTAATAATGTGCCACATGACAATTCTGATAGCCATAATACTGTACTTCAGTTTTGGTACTTCAGTTTCCTGTGAACATCGATCAGTATTACCTTACTAGGTTGATTTTGCGTAGAATATCCATATGTTCCAATAATCAAAGGTCCATGGAATTTCAAAGTGTTTGCATTATTGTTGATGTATATAGTGTTCACGCATATTTGTGAAATTCTGACAAGAATGTCTTCAATCAAGGAACAACAGTATTTTACAATTCTGTCTATTTATTTTCAAAGAGAAATGTTTTCAATGTTAGTCTCTGTTTTGCCCCCTGAACGACCATTCAAGAGAAAGAAAGAAAAGAGCATCCATTCATTCATTTATTCAGCAAGAGAAGCTTTAATTTCATTCAAGTGAGCACTAGCCAAGCTACTGTACCTTACAGTCCCAGTTAGGAACAAGAGTATCCTGTTATTCCAGTCATTTGACATCACTATGGTAACCATATCCTCTGCTGTATGCTAAACTTGGTGTCAATAGGCCATGCAAACTAAATGGCTTGCTGACAGTGTATTCATGTCAAACACAAAGCCAAAAACCTTCTCTGTTGGAAAGAGGAATTTGAACAGACAAATCAGTGAGATGGAGTGCAAATCATTGCACTGCATTTCACTGATTTGTCAAGTAGGGAGGGGCAAGGAGGCAAGTACAAAACTTAAATTCCCTTTAGGATTTATTCCATAATTGTTTCCATTTGGAGAAGAATCAGGTTAAAGTTCAACCTTATCAATTGAGGGTTTATTCAAGGATTACAAAATTAATGGCAGCCAGAAAACAATTTAATTTGCATGACCTCCGGGTTATTTGATAAAATCAATATGCTAATAGACATCAACCACAAACCTATTATACTTCAGCACTCCCATCCACCAACTATTGGGAAACTCTCAATATAACAATATTACACTTACTATCATGGTAAACTAACAGGCGCATGGATCTAAGCCCTAAAACAACAGGCGGGTTATTTATCCCATAGCTCACGATGACAAGACAGACTTCTTGACAATACATAATTATTATAATGATAAATACAATTTTATAATAAATAAATAATTATTTCAGGTTTCTTACCTTGTAAATCAATAATCTGTTTGCTTCCACCACCTTTTTTGCCAACAGGTTTTTCAGTATTAGAGCTCAGGCCTTTCCTGTCAACCTTGACAGTAAGGGCAATGGGTTCTACCATCCCTTGTCCTCTCTTCCCCAGTACTTGTCCTGGCTCCCAGCCCATCTTCTGCAGCAGTTTCATGCCAACACCACCTGATATTGGGTTCAAGTTATGGAACATATCCTATTTTTTCAAAGGAATAACATTAGATACCGTACTGTACATGTACATGGATAATTAAAATAAGCTCCTCATTCTTTCAATCAATAGTCAGGGCTAAAAAAATGTTTGGCCAGTAGATATCAGATGAAACACTATTTTCTCGGTCCTCAACTACAGTATTAAAGACATCTGTGGTCTGGGTGGCATCATGGTAGTTTACCACTTGCCTCTCACTGCTGTGGTCTGGATTTTAGCACCAGCTCAGGCTGAATTATATGCAAATTAAGTTTGTTTGATGTGTTGTTCTCTCATTTGCCACAAGAAGTTTTCTCCAGTTTCTCTGGTTTTCCATAAAAATCAACATGTGATTTGAGTGTTGTAAAGCGTATGTTGTAAATACACCTATTTCAGAAATCGTTGTCACACCAAAAGCCTCAAGCAACAAGCCAAGACTGCAGAGARCGCCAGTACTTTTAGCTGTAATTAGTTTATTCATGGTGCATTTTCATTTATTGACTTCACAAATTATTGCTCCAAGCAAGGCTGCTTGAGATGATAATTAGTGTAGAGCTATAGCCACTTGCATGAACCATGAATAAATCAGATATAATTAAAAGTACCGACCTTCTCTGGAGCCTTGGCTTGTTACTTGAGGCTCTTGGTGCGACAATTATCTTCGAAATAGGTGTATATGAAATATAGCAGTAGGGCATGATGGTCGTAGAATATAAATATGAAGACAAAACTGTAAGTACCTTTCTTGCCCAGGCCTGATATCCAGTATTCATCTTTTCTTTTGGCATCATGTTCTTGGCCAGTTGTCCAGTAAACTGTCCAGGTTTGACGTTGGACTGGCACCAGCTGTTTAGTTTCATTTCCACTTCTTGTAGGGATAACATTGCGTCTAAATCATTAGGATCAGCCTGGAGTCGACGCTGAGCCTCCATCCTTTTCACTACCAGTCCGCTGATGTCCAGTTTCTATAAATAGAATAACACTAAAATATTGACCATAAACAGAGATATTGATATCAACACTGATATTGATATTGATAATGACACTTGTTTTACATTATTGCAAAACATTTATGATGAAAAGAATGAATGGGTGGATGGATGGGATTGATGGACAGGATTCATGGATGGATGGATGAACAAAAGAATGATATGGACACTGAAGGGAAAGAAAAAAGTGCCTTTAATATAGAGGTGTCTGTAAGACATTAGCAAATTCTGATCTGCACTGCATAGGAGCAATGTTAAACTTGTTTCCTGAATGTTTCCTACCACCTTTGGAAAAAATATGTTAACGGGAATATTTCTGTAAACATGTTTCTTCATTTTGGTAGGGATTTAGACCAGTACCTCTTGGTTCTGTGGTGGCATGAATACTTGCTGTGGCTGGTGTGCTGACCCATCTACATAAGGGATTACTTCACCCACACTGACTTCTTCCTGCTCTTTCTCATGATGCTTTGTTCCACAAGACACTGGAAACTGCTCTGTTAGAGGTTTGTCCGAGCTCACCAAAGGAAAGGCTAATGGTCTCATCTGAAAGAAAACCAATACAATACTATTAGGAAGACTGAGGAGCACTGGGAGGGGGGAAGGGAGGAGGGAGGAAGGGAGGAGGGAGGAAGGGAGGAGGGAGGAAGGGAGGAGGGAGGGGGTGGGGGAGGAAGGGATGCATAGAACTTTTAATAGACCTAATCCAATCTTTTCCTATCTTAGACAGTGTCATTCCCTAGAGTATAATTTCTTTGATTAAGTTTTGCGCATCAGAACACACATATGAATATGGGTGCAACTCAAACAAAGAATCTTATTCTCGAGATTCTTTGATGTATTGTCCAATCAATCAAAAAAATCACATTATAGATGTACTACCAATAATTTAACTTGTGCATAACGTTTCCAAATTTCAGACCACATGTCATTTCCTTGAGAAAAAGTATCCATATTCATGCATCTTCTCATGGGCAACCGATAACCAAAGAAATACTCTTGGGAATTACTGTACATGGTTTGAAATGAGAAAACATTACACCCTAGCTAAAATGTACTATAGTACACCCACCTATACCGTCTAATTTTATTGGCTTCATATTTTACTTACTGGAGGTAAAATAACTGGGGGAATGGTTATATCTTTCTTTGGTGCGACAAGAAATGGATGGGATATTTCAACTGATACGTCATCCTCTTCTTCCTCCGTTGGTTTTTCTGTTGCATTTCCTTCAATTTCAATACCTCTAGCTTCTGTCAACTTCTTGCAAAACTCAGTGAGTTGAGCTAATGATCTTTTATTTGAGGGATCAGAAACCGTTGGTGCTTTTCCAACTAAATCTTGAGCTGTTGGCTTATTGGTATTCAGGTTAGTGATCACAGCAGGTGCTTCACTCGAGCTCTTTTCTCCTCCTTTCTTCTCTTCAATATCAATCTTTTCCTTAGATTTTGATCTTGATCTTCTACGATGTCCATCTTTTGATCTTGAGCGGCTTCTACTCCTCCTTCTACGAGATGATAAGGATCTGGACCTACTTCGGTATCTATGCCTTTCCTTTCTTGGAGATCTAGAACGTCCCCTTCTGGGAGATCTAGAACGTCTTCTTCTGGTTGACCTCGAATGACTTCTACGTCTGTGTGACTTTGGTGGAGTTACTGATCTGGATCGTCTTGAATATCTGTTTTCATGTGATCGAGACCTTCTAGATCTACTAGAATAATCTTGTTTCCTGTCGTAGAAAGTCTCTCTTTTGCTTCTACCATCTCTGTAAGTTGGACTTCTACTTCTGTCTCTAGTTTTACTGTCATGAGATCGCCTTGATTTCTTTCTAGGTGATCTACTACGGCTTTTTCTAGACCTACCTAGAGACCTCTCTCTTTTCCTTGATTTCTTTCTAGAAAGAGAAGGAGACCTAGATCGAGACCTGCCTCTTGGTTTGTGTCTTTGAGGGCTTCTGCTTCTAGACTTTGATTTAGTTGAATGTCTATGCTTGTTACGTGATCTTGAGCCTGATTTTGACCTGGATCTCGACCTGGATCTTGACCTTGATGACCAACTAGATCTGGATTTCTTTTTTGAATGCCTTCTTGGAGATTTGGATGAACTCTTTCTTGATTGTGTTTTTGTTCTGGATCTTGATCTAGATCTTGAATGTGACCGCGATACCTTCTTGATCTTAGATTGAGGTGATTTTGATTTCTTGGGATCAGAGGGAGATTGTGATATGTTTAGGGTCTCAGGATCCAATGGTGATTTTGATCTCCTTTTGATTTCAGGATCAGATGGTGATCTTGATCTCTTACCTTCAAGCATTTCCTCAGAGACATCAGGTGACTTTGATCTGCTCTTTGGAAATGAGCCTATTTTCATAGGAAATCCTAAATTGACCTTATTCTCTATTTTTGAAACATCAGGAATCTTAGTTACTGCCTTGGCTACCTCAGCTTCATTGACAGGGGTTGACGATGGACTACATGTAACGCTCGAAGGAGGAGATTTTGTTAACTTGAAAGAAAGATTCTCAACTTCTGCCAGTGCAAATTCTTCAAATGTTGAATCTTTAGTTTCTTCGCCTAAACTCATGGTTTTATTTTGAGATTCTAACTTCACTATTCCATTCTCTTCGCTTGAAACAACTTTCATGTCAGCTTCATCAGCTACATCAGATTTAGCTGTTTCCTCTTCAAGCTCATCATTTGAATCCGGAGATCTTGAGCGCGAACGGCTTGAAGATTTAGATCTTGAACGAGAGGGTGATCTCTTTTTATGCTTTCGTTTTTTATGTTTGTGCTTGTGCTTTTTGGAGTGTTTGTGTTTATGTTTTTTGGAGTGCTTTCCACGTTTCTCTGTCGAGTAGTCGTCTCCATCCTCATCTTCACGTGTCTTTTCCACTTCATTTGTCTCTTCGCCAGCCTCTGACTCCTCTAATTCTGCAGCCATTTCTTTCAACAAATATAAAAGACTTACCCTTGCACTACATTTTGTAAAAATAAAGAAGATTTGTATAAAATAGAGAATGTTTTTTCAATAAAAACCAGCAAAAACTACACTTCTTCGAAGACAAAACAGTCTGCGCAAATTTCCATTGCGCATATATTTCTAGCGCTGACTAATATATATCGCTTGCTCAATTTTTCTATTCCTTATTTTTAAAAAAGGTCTCGTCTCTTGATTTGCTTTTGTATAAGGGAAAGAAACGACTTATCTCGCCAGTTTAGGATAATTAGATAAAATCGAAACACTATTCTTGAGATTTAGTCTTTTCGAGGAAAAAGCGTATGTGGGATCCCTGTGGTTTTTGATAATGTCCCCGCTGGTCATCAGCACTGCGGATGCATCTGATCAAATGAGAAAGAAAGAAAATCGAGTTTGTTATTTAACAGGTGTTTTTCTTGTTCTCGTTTCTTAGCATTTATTTTAGTTGATTATGTCGTCCAGAGGAGGACCAAGAGCCGCTGGTACTGATGGTTCAGATTTCACACATCGTGAACGGGTAGCTTCGCATTACAGAGAGAGTGTAAGACATAAACTTAAAGTCAAGGTTTGCCTTTGGATTCATTTGTTTTTCGTTACGTGCGTGGTATCGTGGTATGGACTGGCTGTGCTAAGGTAGATAGATGTACTACTTTGTATTTAGTAAAGATGAATACTGTACAGGGCAAAATTACTCTTCTTTTATTCTTCACCTATAGACCTAATTCACTGTTTTCCCATTTCAGAGCACATGTCATTCCATAAAGTATTATTTCTTTGTTTACAGTTGCACATAAGAATTAAGACACATGAATATGGATACAACTCAAACAAAGAATTTTATTCTCAAGAGAGTGACACGTGGTCTGAAATTGGCAAAACATTACACCAAAATGATTTGGTCCATCACATCAGAGCTACGTGCAAGGAGGGGGTCAGTGTTACTCCCCCCTTCCCACAATCAAACACAGCAAATCCCTTTCCCCCACTCCTCCACTCTTAATAACTATGCTATATCCACTATCTTTGATCACTCATTCATTCTCCATCTCCTAAGGCTGCATTCATAATGTATGGCAGAGGGGGGGGGGGGAGGCAGGTAAAATCTTTAAATGACAAAAAAGTTCTTAAGACCCCCCCTTGAAATTCCCTCAAAAAATAACTATATCCCCAGGCAATCTCTCGTAGCTTCTTCTAAAAATTATGCATCCCCCCTATTGTCTGATAAAATTTTTCAAAGCCCCCCTATTTTACTGGTAAAAATTTTTCCGGTCCCCCCTAAATTTCACCCCCCTCTGCCATACATTAAGAACGCAGTCTAACACAAAACTATAGAAAAAGAAATTTATCTCTTTTATCTCTCAATTAATACACTTTATCACAAGCATTCTTTAATTTGTTGAAAGTCCTATACAGTAGCATTGACTTTAGTCATGTGTCAGGGAATAAGGTCTCAAAATAATGATTGATGATGTACCCCATTGTTGAACAACATTTAAATAGAATAAAAAACTTCCTAATTTTAGAATGTATTTAATTATTAAGTCTCTGGCTAATATTACATATTGAGTATAAATAAAGTTATTTATCTATCTATTAATGACATTTCCCCTGTTAATTGTTGAGCAACATTAAAATAGAATAAAACTTCTGATTTTTTCCCAAACTAACCTTCTTCAGGTTTAGTACACCCAAATGTTTCAAAAACCAACAGTTTTTGGTTGCCTATGTTTTTTTTCAAACAAGATGACACTCCAGCTGCCTTGAAAATGAATTAAATTTACATAGTGGTTGAAACAGTCTTGTAGTTAAAATACAGTACATGTATTTTCTTCTTTTTTTTTTTGCCGTTATTTTAATAATACTTGATGTTTCTTGTAGGTTAGTTAAGGCAGCTCCACAGCCATGGATGTTGGTATGGTGTATTAGTGCCTTTGCTGCTCTTGCGGGTCTTACTGCCATCCCCAAGAACAAAGGAACAATGATGTATGTCTTTGCATTTGGCAACCTTGTGACTGGTATTGGACCGTTGATGTATGGAGCAAGTTTCATCCTAACAGAAGTGCTCAACAATTACTCTCATGGAATCATCCCAGCAACACAGGATTGGCGTGAGTTGCCAATAAAAATGTCTGTATTAGCATTTGTTATTCAGCTGCATGCTATTAGCATATTCTATGCTAATAAGCTCATTAGTGCCTGGGGTGCCAAAGGAGACAAGGGCTCTTAAGAAAAGATTAACCTGACGCTCAGATAAATATCCATTGGAGAAAGGCTTTGAAATGAACTTTGTAGAACTTTTGTAGAATTCAAATCCAGCTTGAGTATTTTTGACCAAAATAATGTAACAAAAGATAGCATACATGTAGAATATGATTTCTTGGTCAAATAATAAATTTCAACAAGCCAAAAACTTCAATACTTCAAAATTTAGACTGTGTATATCCCTTTTTCCTCCCAAACTCATTTGTGTCAGGTGTCTTAATTTCCTATCTAGGACATGAGGCAAGTGTGAGCAAGTCTACATGGCTCTTTAAATTTCAACTCACCCTCTCTCTGCACATCCAAGAAATGAAAAAGACCTTACTTGACAGAGTTTAGAGGAATACAGGAACTCTTAACAGTCTAAAGAAAATTTTGATTTCGTTCCTAATAAATTTTATTTATTTTATTCATGATGAACCACTGATGGGCTGTTTGAGTGATGGAGAAATACAGTGCCATGTCTCCTTAGAGACTAATGTTTATGTATATGACACACTCACTACATTTAATATTCTAAATACACAACTCTCTTGCTATAAGTTGTCCACTCTTTTCCTCTCCCTGCCTATGGAAGGAGAATTTGACCAGCGCTAAGCACAAACATATCAAAAGTGATGAAGTGGCGAGTAGTAGATGACATGTTTTCCTTGCAGAGATTTAATTTCTGTTTTGTCCCTTAGATGTAATTATAATTGAATCACCAATGGAAAAAAATCCTTCAGTAAATTTGGTTAAAAATATATATTATAAACTCTTTTACTATTTATTACTAMTTTTACTATTTACATTATTTACAAATGACTGAAGTATAAAGCCTAGTCCTCGCTAGGGACATAACATAAGGAGCATAAGAGTGCACATCCTAAATGAGAAATTTAGCAGCATAAGCACAAGTACAAGATTAATGGAATGTTTAGATGCTTGTGTTATGCTCAAGCGAGGATCAGCCTTAATACATATACTAAAAAAAACTTATGCAAAAACTAGTAAAGTTGAATATACTCAATTTGGCATTGATCCAAGGTCATAACATTTTTAGCTAACATGATAAAATGTGCTGTACTTCTGACTTATTAAACCTTAGTTGTTTGCTGTATAATTTAATCAGAATTATTAAATATATTTCAATTCTGGACAGCTCTCCTAGTTTTTCTCGTGTCTTCATACCACTAGTACTGGAAACTTTTTTCAACTAATTTTCCTCCTCGATTCAAATGAATTGTGTTACCACTCTTTTTGATCATTGCTATGCTGATTGGGACAAAAATGGACAGACTATTCAGCAAATAAACAGAACTATGTTTATTTTGCTTTACTGGGAATTTACATTGCTCTGCAAAGATGTAAGGCAGACTTATTACTCTCAAAAAAGTCTTGTGTTTTGTGTGCTTTGGTTGTGACTGTCATTGTAATCCTATGTTTGTGAGAGATGCTGAGAGAACACCAAATTCTTTAACAGTCCTCTTCACAGTTCCCTGCACCATCTTGAAAGGTAGCCGTGCCTTTGCATTGAAGCAAGACGAACGGTGCGATTGCAATGTTAGAGACCTTTTTTAACACCTTGAACAATTATTCACATGTCTCTATCATTGCAAGCTCACCGTTCGTCTTGCTTCAATGCAAAGGCACGGCTACCTTTCAAGATGGCACAGGGAACTGTGAAGGGGTCTATTGGCTCGGTTGGATTGCTTTGTATTCATTCATTATTATGATTGGTTAGTTTTGTACAAGTAACTGCCTGCCACAGTAGGAATGTACACATGATAACTTAACAAATTAATTTGTTACAAAGAGTGCAAACAATTAATCCGTGAAACACAATTACTAAATAGTACAAAATAGTGCTAATTAAACAATAGAAAACAATGGAATTTGCATGAAATTGTACTATTTAGTATTACTAAAGTTTCACGATCATATTGTTTGCACTCTAACAAATCAGGGCTTAACATAACAGCCATGCAGTCATTAATTGTCAGCCAGAAACAAGGTACTACCAAGATGAAAATAATTTGGCTGATGATCATGACAGGAGACTCACCAGCCATTATTTTAAGCCCTGCAATACAAAAAATTGGTTCTTTCTAGGTATGAATGAAATAAATACTAAATGTCTCTGTCTACTTTAGCTATTTTCTTCTTTTATGAATCTTTGTCTTTTCCTTAATTTCAAAAACAACAAACACTTTAACACAAACAGTAACTGTTGCCATAGTGATTTTATCACTGTATGACTGAACCTGCCTGTCCTGTTTCTCACTGTCTCCTTGGATATTTTCCCCTACAGGCCCAACATATTCCTCATATCTATCTTCTTTAATAGTTATAGGTGGCCCTAATATCTGGTTAAACATCTGTACAACTTGTAAGGCTTTGGTTTTGGCATTTTTTACAGCACTCACGCAAGCTTGACATCTGAAACAGGAAAACCAATCAGTATTTATATATGGAATTATTTATTACATTCTTTGCAAAGTTGGGGGAAAAACATCAAAAAAATCAATTTACTTTTGGAGTTTACAGTCACCAAACCAATGATTTTGAAGAACACAACCAACAGCTGTGAAAGGCAAGCCTTGATGATACCCTCTAACCAATGTGTGGTTCCATAATATTTCCATACTCCACCATAGAGGAACTTCGAAAAAAGGTCTCCCACCCCTCTGGAATTTCCAATTTTCTTCCATACAAATGTAGGCAAAATTCTAATTTACTTTTTTCCTCTGACCTCTCACCCCCTGGGAATTTCAGATTTCTTCCATTGCAGTGTGGTATTGAATATTTTTTGGAACCACATAACATTTTAACACTCATTCTTACCAGCACTGTTGCCATTGCTATGCACTTATCAAAACTGCAGTCATGACAAATACATGTTGGAAACAATTTATTTAATTGGTGATAGCCTATTGGCCAAGTTTCCTGTCACAACTGCAACATCTTAGTCAGTGCATAGCAATGAAAACAGTGGTAATAGAGGTAGTGCAAGATTATCATTCAGCAATTTCCATACAACTGTTCACTGGCCAAACACAAAGCGTTCAACCAAGGCTACGAGGATCATATTTGAATAATCCTTTGAAACTACCTTGCAGCCTTGAGTGAATGCATTGTTTGTGATGAGTGAACTGACATTAATTTAAAAAGTGGTGAATGGGGACATCATAAGCTGAAAGAGATGTCAATCAAACTGTTTTTATAATCAACGTTTTACACTGCCACACGCAAAAGTATGACCACATTGAATGTATTATATTTGATTACTTTTATTCTATTTTTGCTGCCAAATGACAATGTACGCTAAAACCTGCATCAAATTAATGTGCATAAAAGTGTACAAATAAACCATTGCCATTCATACGTTTGCATGTTGCGCTGTGAGGCAAAACACTGTATACTTATGGAATGCAATGCAAAGGTCTTCAATGTCCTTCATATTAGATTCTGCACTAACCTTTGAGATTCTAATTTTGATGGAGAATGAAAAAACACGGGGGATGAGACGCTGACTGTGTTATCCAACTTCTCAACGAGGAGGTTACAAATCTCTTCACATTTGAGAAAGTCTGTGAACTCCACAACAATCTCCACTTCATATTTGTAAATATTCTCTGATCTGGAAAGAATTCTATTGATCTTGTAGGAATTCTCTTTGATATGGTAGGACTTTAGGGTGTGTAGTATATAATCTACTCTTCTGTTGACACTTGTCTTCACATCATCTACTGTCTCCTATGATTTTGAATAAAGTTAAGAAATGTGATAACTTATATAAGCTTAATTAAGTAAAATAAATGTAAATGGTTTAAATAAAGTGATAAATAGAGAGAGCTATGGGGCATCAATCGACGTATTGTGGTTTTACCTTAGAGTTAACACAAGTAATAGATACTTTAGCCTTATCAGGAGGAAGAGATATCTCGGCAGATTCAGTTATTTGTATCTCTCGTCTGTTGACTTTGTTTTCCTCTGTGTTATTTTTTTCACCGTGTCTGCCTGTAGGAGAATTATTACTGCCTTCTTTATCACTTGACGTTGTAAACTGAGCAAAAACCTGTGCTGGATTAAACCACTTTGAGCCAGAACAGCTCATTTTGGTATTTAAGAAATACAATATTTTCGTCTAAAGTTGTTAACGCGTTGCAAAGATTTGAACAGAAAATTCAAAATGGCGCCTAAATCCCATCATGCACCATTCCACAGGTAAACCAGTTGCAGCACAGGTATCCCAAGTTAGGTTTCTGTCTTGGTTACCATGGTTATTGCGACTACCCTATCAATGTCATCCAGACAAATTTTCATCCAAATTAGCCAATTACGATTGAGTATTTATCAATAGAATCTGCACACTTTGCCCTTTAAAAACATATGCTTTACTCTATATGTGGGTGCAGGGGCATAGAGAGGTCTCGATCAAGACGCCAATTTATGTACTATTTTTCCGCCAAATCCTCGGGAATCCCACATGAATTGATTGAAATTTGGTGCCGAAAGCAAACAGTGGGGGAAGGGGGGAAGGGGGGAAGGGGAGAAGGGGAGAAGGGGGGAAAGGGGAATGGGGGGAGGGGCGTTCCACTCCCCTCTACGCTAGAGCGTTTGTGTGTATGATTAGGAGTAAACAAGAGACAGTGAAGGGCGGTTCTGTCAAATGTAATGTTCCTCAACGTCCTGAATAACAAAGAGAATAAGAGAAAAATATCATAACATTACATTTGGTGAGTGTATATCATGAGGGCTGAACCCTTCTTAATCCCCGGTCGGACTAGCCCTTAGGGTCATTATATAACTAAGGAGATAGTGCTGCCTTTATTATTGCATCTTTAAATGGTTAGACTTTCGAGTGGCTCGGACGACCTTTTTAACCCTATTTTCACTGACAAAAGAGCACCAAATCAACCGCACGCAAAGCACGAACCTCCCGGGCAAACACCAATAGTCCCCTGGGACTCTGAGGGTTATATAAGGCCACGTCCACACGTATCCGGAAATTTTTGTATCCGCAAATTATTTTTTGCTGATACGAAAATGTTTGCGTTCACACGCAGCGTATTCGAATCGTTTTCACCGTCCACACGTATCCGTTTTCATAAAAGCACACGTATCAGCAAATTTTTGTATCCGCAACTCTTTTTCAACCGGGCCAACTTTCGGGGGGGAAATAAAAGAAAAATAATTTAAAAAATGTGAGAAAAACTGAAAACCCTCGAAAACCAGTCCAATCAGAAATTTGTGGCTACGGCCATGTTCTGCTCATTTCACGCATTCCGTTGCAGAAAATTCAGAATGGCGCCTAAATCCCGTCATGCGTCATTAAACCACAGAGAGCCAGTAGACCTTTTTAGCATCTCAGAACACGTGTTCATTCCCTAGATGTCATTAATTTCTTTTTTTATTGGTTGTTTGAGAAGTCACATTTTAAATTTTATCCTGATGAATTTTATCGTGTATAAATAACGTTATCCTATCCTATCTTGTTTGACCAAAATAATTAATTTACAGTCAAGCCCCCCCTCTTCCCTTATATTTTTGGCTGGATCCGCCGCTGTTCTAAACGTAAGGACGATCAATTTAGAGAGAGTCGCACGTCTCTCACTGCAAGGTCAGGCAAAACGGCGTGCCGTGTTTGTATCACCGACAAATGTATTGAGCTTTTGTCTACAAAACTCTCCATATGTGAGTAGTGTTTGTTGGTTCTCTCCTGTGCTTCGAGGGTTTTTTATTATGACGTCAGACATTAACAGCCTATAGACCCCTTGCATGTGACGTCAAAGCAGATCAATTTGGAAAGAAAACAAAAGAATTTCAATCTCATGAGTGGAAACATTGTTATGTCCTCCAAATTGAGTGACATTCGGAAGTGCTGCGAGGGGTCTATTGCTAAGTTCAGTGAAGGAGACACAATTAATGAAATTTGGTGATTTTTGTGCTTAATCTTTATCTAAGCTGGAAATATTGTAGACTATTTCCATAATTCGTAGTTTTCGCTGCTTTATTCCTGGTGGTCGCTAAAAAAAACAATAACATAAACATCGACACAGAACCAACTGTGACCGGCTTAAGGAATCAGCCGGTATAGAAATATTTGTAATGTTTTCAATTTCTGCTGATTTTGGCCTTTTCTTCCAGGTTTGTAAAATAGAAGTCTGTTTTGTCATTAAGTTAACAGATCAAAAACAGTTTTCCGTGTTTGATACTCTGATCAAAACACGCGGGATGTTGGGAGAACACGAGAGGAGCGTAGGAAACCACGACGCGTAGCGGAGTGGTTTCCAGCTTCTCGAGTGTTCTCCCAACATCCTAAGTGTTTTGATCAGAGTTTCAAACACAGAAAACTGTTTTTGATCTGTTAACTAAAAAATAACAAACGCGCGAAAAGATCGAAAAAAAGCAAAGTCTAAGTAAATTCTCCCTACGTGCCGTCTTATTCAAACTGACCAATGAGCGTGCGCGATAGATTAAAAATGACGATAGCGTGTTTTGATACTCTCATCAAACATGGTTTTCGACCAATCATAGCGTGCGTAGTATACCAATTATTTTATAAATGTCATTAAGAAAAAGGCCCTGCTCAGCTAAATCCTATTTCGTGTAGCGCTACAAAAATAGCTATTTACATTTTTGAATTCGTTTTGTATCTAGTACAACTTTTATATGATATTACTATCTGTAAAGCTAAAATGGTATGCTGAAGATTCAATCTTGTTGTGTGCGAATATTTTTCAACTTTTGCTCTAGGTTGTAGCCATCTTGAAGGGAAAGCTAAGTTTTCAACTCCTTTCACCTCTAACACACATATTTACTACATCGAACAGTAGCGGATCCAGGGGTGGTCCCATGAAACTCCCGTTGTCAAGCCGATCGGCGTGTTCTTTAAAGTGCAAATGAACCCTTCGACAATACTTTCAATACTGATCATACATGAAGTAAATAGTTGAATGGTAAAATATTTCTTGATTTGA